AGGCTGAGCCTCTGCCACTCAGTTCTCTGCACAGCCACAAGCCCAACAAGGCAGGTTTTCCATGTTGCCCTCTTGCTCCTCCCCAGGGGCCTGTGGAGCAGGGAAATCTCTGGGGGTGCCTGTGTCAGCTCACTGATTACCCACCAGGTCACACAGCTACTGAAATGAGACTGGAACCTGCTCTCACACACCAAATAAAACCAAGGCCAAGACAGATAATACAACTCTCTCTAAGGGTGAGAGCTGGCCATGAACTTTTCACCAAAGCAACAGGGTTAGAACTGGTGAGAAGCATTAAAATGAAAGAGAATCTACACCAGCGTGTCTCCTTGTTGAAGAAAGACAATGGAGAGGCCGTGGGGAGCTGCTGTTTCAGGTACACTGGAAAAAACAGCACTTGTTTTGTGCAACAGATGAAAGAGGGCACCACAGCCATCACCGGTGGGTGTCTGAGAGCAGCAAGAGTAAAGGGGCATTCTGAAAAATGCTGTGCAAACACACATGGCCACTATACTTTACTAGGTCTGTAGTCACTTCCCTTCACCTTTGTTCAAGACAAAACTCCGTCCCCCAGATTTCTGACTCATTTAAAGAAATTCTTCCCAGGACTTCAGCAATGCAGGCACTTTTCTGCAACAGCCCAGAGAGGTCCTTCAGCTCCTTGTAAAATATGCAAATCATGAAAGCCACATTGTTCTTCAGTATCAAATAATCTAATCCTGCCCACCAACCAATTAGTAACAGGACAGAAAAACTACCCAAAAAAGCTGCTTTCAAAGGGAGCTCTTTGGCAATTCCAAGACAGAGAAATCCTCTGGAACAGGAAATCTACTGTCGCAAAGAGGGTGCTGCACAGCTTTGCTCACTCTCCATTAGCTGGCCAGTGGAGCAATAAAGTGGCATGGGTTTCCAAAGTAAAGTTTGCTTTGGTGCCTAATCAGGCTTTACTCCACCTGAACTCCTGCTGACTTCAATGAGAGGGTAGATGGAGTGAAAAGTGAATGAGGACTTGAAGGTTTGGCCCTTTATGAGCCAAGATTTAAGTTGTAAACTTATTTAAAGACACAAAAATCTTTGCAGCTGAACTCAATGCTGTTTTTGAACACAAACCTTGTTTGTTTTCTTTGTGTAAATCTTACATGTTAACATGATTAAATCTGCTGGGCAGGTGTCTCCTCATGTCCATGTTTGCTTTGGCACATGAGCTGCCCCTCTCACCTCTCCAAATTCATGAAAATTTAGTGTTAAATCCTGCCTTTTGTTACATGAGAGTGCCAGGGAGCCCCTCTCCCTTCCTAACCAAGGCGTGCCCACGTCACAGCTGGGCTGGAGTCCAGCCCAGCACTGCCAGGTGCCCAGGCTGGGGAGGGCAAGTGTGGGGGCTCATCTTCCACAGGCAGACAAGGATGGCATGGGATCCATCATAGCCTCTTACTGCACGTTCACTCTCCTGCTTCTCAAGCTATTTCTGGAGTTGCCAGTTTTCCAGCTACATGTTTCCCCTGATGAATTCCCTGCTCTTGGAGATATCTGACTCTGTCATCATCCCAGCTTCTACCAAACCTAAGTTTTCAGCTGTCCAGATGAGACATATAAAGGAATAAGAGCATGACCTGCTACAGCTCAAGACTATACACTGGCTATAATCTGCAAGCATCACTCTAATGCTGTTTGCAAGGTTTCTGGGACCCAGCTGTAGTGCCCAGGGTGCTGACACTCTGCCCTGCACAGACCAAACAGTCCCTCATCAACCACTTGCCTTGCTGTTCATTCCCAGCCATTGGTACGGCAAAAATGTGCACCTGCTTTTTTAGAGCAATACAAGCAAATTCAATTTTAGAAACTGTTCAAAGGGGCTGAGATTCAGAAAGATATAATGAGCACTAGTGAAGACATTTTTTATTAGCCCAGAAAAATGTGTCTAGCAAGAACAGCTGTCAGGGTGAAGATCCTCTGAGACAGGATATGCATATATGGGTATCAAGTGGCACACACAGCTCTCCCAGAACTTCTTCCCCAAGCACAGCAAAGACCCAGGTGATATCTGCCCACATTTAGCAGCAATTCAGCTGAGTCACAGCAAACTGTTGACATCCTGTTGTGCAAGTCCAGGCTTTGAAAACTGCTTTTTTTTTTAGCAGATTAGTTTTGAACATTCAGATATTGCACCTCATTTTTTTGTCTAAGGTCTAGGAAATGATAAAAGCAATTAGCTCCCTAAATTATTCTCTTATCTGTAATTGGGTGTGACTTTTTCATTGTTTGTTTGTGATAAACACTGAACAAAAACAGTGTCCACTATGTAGGCCAGGAAAATAGACCCTTATGACAGCCAGCTTATCTTCCACAGCTGCCTGAACAAACCAGCACCTAAAGGGCATTTTTTCAGGAACGTTTCCAGCCAAGGACTCAGGTGACAGACTGACTTGTACAGTTTTTACACAGCTCTCTATTTTCTATCAGAAATGAGAAGACTCCCATTATTTTCCCTTCCTGCATAGTGTCATATTGCCAGAAATATCCCAAGAGCAATGGGGCTGCGGGCAGGAGGGGAGAGCAGAGCACCTTAGAACACGTTTCTGCCAGCTTCAAGGAAATTTAAAAAAAATAAAGAGCGTGAACCAGAGAGACTAACTGAAGAAAGCTCCCACTCTGTTTCTTTCCCACCCTCACCCTTCCCTTTGGACAAGCACATGATTTCTAGCAGGTGTGAAAGAGCCATGGGACAAACAAAAGAGATAAAAGACAGAACAACTCTGAAGAGAAGTCGGGAGGCCACAACACAAGCACAGCACACCAGCTCCAAGCAGGCAGAGGCACTCTACCATTATCTAGTTCACAGATGGACCACCCAGAAAATCTGGGAGCAATTAGGAATGAGAACAAACAAATGCATGGAAAGAAAGGGGGAGGGAAAATGGGAAGGAAGGCCAGAAGGGATTCCTTACATCATCTCCATGCAAGCGTTTCGAGAATGAAGTGAAGCTATATGGAGGAGGAATGCAGATGAAAGAGTTTGCAGTGAGAATGCAATAAAGCAAAAGGCTATGAAAACATGGAGTGTATGAATGAATTACAACATGGCCATGAAATTTACAGAAAGTCAGGACAGTGTGTAAACAGAGAAGAAACCCATCAAGTTCTTGGAGACACAGACATGCACATATAAACAGATCAAATGCTGATTGTCTCTCTCTCGCTGTAAACAGCAATTCAACCCACCCTGCAACTCAGGGATGCACCAGGCACAAAGCTGACTCATGTTCCTCTCTGACTGTCAATAACTGGCATTAAATACTGGCAGGAAAACACAAATGCTTTGAACCAAGCACCAAGATAACCTCTCATAAATGCATGGACAGTAACCACAGCAACACCCAGGTGACTCACAGAGCTTATACCAGAGCCATGTGCCTGGGAACAATCCATTTTCTGCTGGTCTGGGTTCCACTTACCTGGCATCTAATCACGCTATCAGTCAGCACTTTACAACACCAGGTTACACCTTTCTTGTCTGGGGAGACTTACCTGATTTTGGTACCAATCACTTTGGCTTCAACTGACTTCAAAATGACTGCTCAACCTTCTAAGAACAAAGCCCATTATTTAATTAAATGCCTGATATTAAGCACCTTTGTTGGTTATAATTGTGGCATAGAAGGTTGCCTTTGTTGCTGCAAAGTTTGCTTTCTCTTTTAAAATCATTTGTGTTTGTGACTTTTGCTAGTGAGCACAATTTCTAAACTCTGTTTGCTGGGTCCAAAATCACAGCAGAAAAATGCCTCAAAAACTGAAGATACCAAGTGTTTTGAAGTGATGTTAATCAATAACACTGTGTTTACTTTGTCTCGGCCTCTGAAAAGCAAACTCTGGTCACTAAGGACATCTTATAAACACATTAAAATTCACACAAGCTTTTTTAAAAGCTTTTCAGTTTACCATAATCTCAGTAAATCATTGCCTGATAATTTTCCCTAAAACTAGTCCTTATTAACACACAAATTCAGTTAGAAAAAAAAAAAAATCTACTATCTGCTTGTCTTAGCAGCAGCTAAAATATGGCAATTAGTTTACCTTAGAATAGACATCAAAGGCTCAAAGGATGACCCTGCCCCAGAAGAACAAAATCTTTTAAAAGCCCTATTCCACTCAGTTTGCTAGTTTATAAGGTTTGCTAAAATCCAGTTTAATGATCATGAAGTTTCTTAGCAAGTCATGTGGTGCCATATTGTGTAAGGAACAGAAGAGTTAGTTCTAAAACCTTTTTGAACTTGGGGAGCTTTTCCGACCAGCTGATGCAGAACCACATTCTGAGATGGTAAATGAAACTGTTGGATGCAAAAGCCTCACCATGATTTTCTTTAGCTTCTTTCAGAAAAGACAAAAGTTCCCACACAACACATACTCTCTCTATACAATGAAAGGTTCAATAATAGCAGTATATTCAAGTCCATATGGTGTGGTTATAAGGGAGAGGCACAACGAGAAACTGAGAACCCTGAAGGCAAGAGACCTGCAAGCTCTAGTGAAAAAAGCAAAAGCATAAAAAAGCCCCTTAAGGTGAAACAGAATAAAGTACTAGAGCACAATGGATTACACCAGTTCTCCTTTTAGCTGCAGTCTTTATATCTTGAGCTGCTGAGAGCTCCCTCCCCTAACATGGTTATCTTTTTATTTGTTTTGGTTTTTTGGATGACATAACCAAGTGCTCTCAAAACCAGTCTGCCTCAGTGACCAGGTAAGAGCAGTACACGTTACCACGCAGGGGACTGAGCAGCAGTTTCCAACAGGGCCTCACAGCAATAATGAAGGAGAAATGAAAATGGAAGGGCTGGTTTCTGTGAGGGGAACAGACACATATGCAAGGGAACAGCAATAAATGAATAATACAGGAGAAGAAGCCTTATTTGCCTGTCTACAATCAGATTTTAATGGCGAATGAGAAACAGGGAGGGGAGAGGAAAATAAGGGTCTGGTTTAAACATTTAGCATAGACTTGCCTCTTTCCATTACTATCACGAAGCATGGCTTTTCCCAGCTCTCTTGTCTTTGTTTCCAACTCCTTAACTTGCTCCAGCAAAGTTTTACGGTAGGTATGCTTCGCCCTGTACCACAAGGAAAGGACAGAAAACAAAACAAAAAAGCCACGTGAACATTTGTTTTGCCACAAACCCCCAATTTTACCTCTCAGGTGAGAGGCACAGGGCCCTCCCTTGAAGGATTTGGGAAATAAAGCACAATGCATGCGTGTTAGTTCAGGTTCACAATACCTGGGAAAAAATACATACGAAATGAGAAATCAGGATGACTTCAAATTAAAGAGAGCCCAGCCACTTCAACCCAGCACTCAAAACCTACCCAAGCAGCAACACTATGGGACTACAGAGACCTGACACCGCTGCCGTGGGACTGCTCAGGACCCGGGCACTCAGACAAAAGAGCTGGGATTCACTGAATATTCATGGCAGTAAAACATGAATCCACTCTGTCTTTTGAGCTACGCGTGGCACTGCTCTGAAAACCAGAGGAGAGTCTCAGCTAATAATTGCCATTCAAACCCTTTGATTTTCATTGATCAGTCTCACATGACTGGAAAGGCACTTCTCTCCTCAATGAACTTTCAAACTGACAGTAACAAGACTGGCTGTGTCCTTCTTCTTTTTTTGGTTTGAGGATTCAAAGAGTAACCCATGCACCACACATGCAATCAAAATTTCGAGTGCAATTTAGAATCCCCCATGAAGAGACTTCAGCCTTTTTCCCCCCCAGGTTCACCTACTGCTCCAGGGCTATTATACCTAAATTACATTGACATAGGGGAGACAATCTAGTCCCCTTTTTCTTGACCTGTATAAAGCAAGAATACAAAATGCAGGGATCTTTCTCACATGGGCAGTTTTTGATCAGCTTCCTCTTTTGTGCCACTTAAAGGAGGACAAGCGTCCCATGAGAATATATTGATTTGCATGTGACTGCACAATAAGCCTAAAAACAAGATAGAGTGAAGTTGGCTGAGACACTACTTGCTTCATAGCATTAAAATAATATTCTTCAGCTCAAAGGTGGCAAAAAATTCTTTACAAGTTTTATAAAAATCTTACATGCAGACATGAAAATCTTTAGCCAATGAGATAAAACAATATAAAACTCCCTCTAGCAGAAAAATAATAACTGGTGTGTATGTAATTAAAATATAATGAAGATGCATTTATTTTTAAGAAGTATGATACTTATTCCTCCTTCCATAGGGAATAATAAACAAAGACCACAAAATCTTTGCTGACACTGTTTATAATGACAGTGACTTGATACTAATACCAGGATATCCAAATCCTCTGGCCCTTGTGTTGCTGAATTATGCCCCAAATATCTAAAAATAAGAAGCTAAAATGAAAACTACTTTCTAAGCACATCTGCAGTTAAGAGAGGAAAAAAAAAAATAACAACAGAAGATGAAGCACACCAAAATCTGAAAGTTAAGATTATCAGGATGTACTAAGAAGGATGTATTGTTAAAACAAACCACCAAAGGTGTATGGTTTGCAACATCAACATACCATGTCAAAAGAAAAGAGTAGCAAGGATATTTTGAAAATGCATAATACTTCAGTAATGCGAGATTACCAACAGCTGCACAGAAATTAATTAGATTCAAGTTGCTATAACTACTTAGGCTAATGATTAGACTGGTCTCCTCTTTGAGGAAGGGAAAATATAGCTATTAAAATGAGAAAGCTTTGAGGCTATTAATTTTTATAATCTTTTCAGTTGAATTCACTATCACACTCTTTAATTTAAACAGATACACTGAAATTTTAACCTTGAAATTTTGACCTTCATCTCCTCCCTTTTAAAGAGGTCATACCTACTATTGCAAACTTCAAGACTGAGCACATTTGGAACATTTCAAATCCTTCATAACCAGTTTTGCCCCCTGACAAGAACACAGAAATGTACATGTTACTCAATCTTTTCCAAAGTTCCATGTTTATCTTGCCATAAGCCATAAGTGATCTTTTTCTTTTACCTTAGAGTGAATATTGAATTCAAAATTTGACAGAATGGATCCTGATCAACAAGTCCAATTTGTGCAGTACAGCACTAGGAGGCATGACACATATGATATAACACGGCAGAAATACTGTTGGCCTGAAGTTGGGGATAATGAAGTGTTTTGTAAGTAGTGTGAAATGATGAGAGACGTGGGCCCTTCTGGGGCTGGTAGTTGCTATGCACTGAGTCACTCCTTTACTTGGAAGCAAGAGCACCCATGGAACATGCTCTTGCTATTGATAATCAAGTATTATCAATAAATAAAAGAATATGAAAAAGGCCTGAGCTAACCCATCCACATGTTCCCTCAAAAACAAACACTAGAATATGGTATTACAGTTGCCTCAGAGTCTGGGCTTGCTCCTGTCAAAGTCAACTGCAAATATTCCACAGACTGCTGGCACCAGGACTGGATACTTCATGACTTTTTCCCAAGAGCACATTACAAACTTTTGATTAACAGAAGTATGGGTAGGATTCTAAGCTCTTAGGTGAGTTCTCTACAAGTGGCCCTGGATGCACAATCAGTCCTCAGTGAACGAGAACTTGTTTATTGTTACTGTTGGCTAAAATTTGATGCATTACATAAAGACAAACTCACCTTTCCCTCAAATGCTGGAATATTAAGATTAGAGACTATAACAACAGGCAAAAGGCTGTCTTTGTATTTTGTGTGGCCCTTCCCCTTTGAATCCAGGGAAGTGCATCACTTCACTGGCATAGGATATTTAGGGGGTTCAGGAGGCCAGAATCTGCCAGGGAGCAGCATGGTGACATTCTTAAATGTTTCTCAAACATGACACTACCTCTACTCTGGCTTATTATCCTTACTACCATTTTATGAGTCTTGTATTTCATGGACCGCAAGTATATGCAAAGATGGGAAGGGCTCCTCCTATCTTCTTTTACACTGCAGAACTGGCAAGTGCAAACTGCTTCTTCCCAAGGTAAAAACCAAAAAAGTTCATGAAAATTTTGATAATGATTGGAAGGCTCAGGAAATTTTTCATTGTAAAATAAGCACCAAGACATCAGTTAGGAAAAAATTCTTGCCTGCTTGCCTGATTTTGCAGGAATACACGCTGTGTTTTTATGATTCCCGCATACTTCTGTGAGTCAGCTATTCCAAGACATCCTAGAGCCAGTGACATGTATTCAAGTGACATGTGCCAGCTGTGAGAGAGCACTCACCTTACAAAGCTCTCTTCATTGTAATGGTGGCACAACTAAGATTTTTACAAGGCAAACCAAGGCACTGAATTCAGGGTAGTGGACCAAAGTTAACAACTTATTGCAACCAAGTATTAATAATAAGCTTCCTTCTCTTTAAAAAGGGAGTTCTCCACATTTCCTTGATTCATTTAAAAAGGAAAAAAAAAAACTGAAAAAGAAAATAAAAAAGCCTGGAGCCACAGGGAACATGGGAGGTAAGTGATGTGTTGACAACGGTAGCCTGTGTAACAAAGACGTTCTTGCTTCAGCATTAGAAATTTTGATAGTAGATGCAGCACAGCAGTTTATAAACAAGAGATTTTTATGTGTCTGAAAAAGACTTTCCAATCAACCTTCTTCCAGACAAGGCTGTATTGTGTTTATGGCTTTCTGGCAGTATTTTGTACTGAAATTAGGCATGTACCTTTTGGGTCATATGGGTGTTCTGTCTGTGGACATGTGCTTCATGTCCAAAAGAAACTGAAAGGGATAAATTCCATGACCATGAGCAGTCAAGGTTGCTGGAATTTTATGGCCAAAACCATATTCTGCTGAACTACAGAGAGCAATGTGGTGTAACCACTGCTGTGGAAATGTGCCAGCTGATTTCCAGAGGCCTTAGGCTCCAGTTTTAAATGGCAGGCCTCTTGGAAAGGAAACAGACCTTTACTCCTTCCATATGGCAGCGCTGATAGCTGTGTCATTTCATTTATCCTAGTTAAAATGTTAATGGTGTTAATTTTTCAGTGATGGCTTAGTTTAAAAAAAAAAAAAAAAGAAGTCCTGGGCAGAGCAGAGTTTTTTTTGCTTAATATTGCTAGGAGCCTCCTGTTTAAAATCTGCTGGGAAAATATCTGGTCTATCAGTCATACATGTTTGTCTTGAGAGGTTCACAGTCTCTACACACTCTCAGTCTGAATGACTGAAAGGATTATGTTGCTGAGATTTGTTTAAGAAATATTAAAGAACAGGCTCAGTCAGTAACAGAGTTTGAAATGACTAATAGCTGAGGATGAGCCTGCCATGGTCTGGCCTGTTTTACAATTCATGAGTCATTTTTGCCAAGAACTGATAAGAACAGAGGACAACTTCACAACACTCAACTATCATGAAAACATTAAAAAAGCTGAAAATTTTTTTTCAGAGTTTTAACAAGCAGGTCACAGACACAGTGAAGTATCTAAAATTAAACATTTTGGCCTCAGTTTTAGAATTCTAAAATAATTGGCAACTACAGAAGTTTAGTGAGTAAAAAAAACCCCACCTCAGATATGTTGGACTATTAGATCAAATCATAGCAGAAAATTCACATTACAATACCATTTTAATTTGAAGAGTCTAGTTTGTGAAAATTAATCTGAGGGACAAAATTTACAAAGTACTTACTGACTGGTAGATTTGCCTATTACCAGTTTAATTTCACTGTGCTATCAACCCCATATGAAATAAAACCCGATTTTCTGATCTGTGCACATGACTCGATTTACCTTTCAGGAAGGTGTTTGAAATGTGCTGTGTTTGGGAAACTTTCTGGGTTTTTTTAGTATTTTCTGCATTTTTCTGTGAAGCAGATTGGTGGACTTGGCAGTGTTACAGTCAGACTCAATGATCCCACAGGTCTTTTCCAACCTAAATGGTTGTATGACTCCCTGACTGACCAAGAGCTCATTCTGGGAGCAAAGTGTTATGTGTCATGATGCTTTCACCGTGAGCCTGTCTGATGAGTGACAAGCTAACCAGTATTTCCTCTTCATTCCAGGCAGGATCTGTCTTTTTGACCCAGAGTTGGAATGTCCTGGGTCCTCCTTGCACAAGGTTATTATGTATCCACGTAATAAAACCTTCCTAGTTGTAACACAGCTCTCCAAGGGAAGAATTGGAAGGTTTGGTGCTTAAGACACTTAAAAGTAAGCAGAACAGAACGCCACAAATTTTAAGTTAAAATTATTACTTCTGTATTTCAAAGTGCAACATCAGAGGAGGTAAGTTGCTTTCCTTTAAATCCAAGTTCTTGAAATTGTTTGCCTTCCACAATGCTTTGAAAGCAGAAAATTTTGAGAGAAGGAAGTTAAACAGGCTTATATTTCACCAGTTTGTTCCTCCTCCTTGGGCAGTGAAGGTATCATTAAAACTTCTTTCAAACATAAAGCAGAGTATTGCTCTTCTCCCAGTTCAGTCTCCAAAGACCCGCTGCTGATGGAGAATCTAAAAAGCAGCTGACAAAGAGCTGAGAACTTACTGGGTATGGATTAGAGTACCACATTTCTACATTCTACCTAACCTTACTCAGATTCAACAAATTATTTGCTCCATTTTTAGGAAGAGGAAATCTCAGATGTCCGATTTAAATTTACCTTTAACTAAAGGGTAGGCAACACAAACAATCCTAAGGTGACACGCCTTCATTACTCAGACAAGGCCACCTCCTTCAGATTTAGTCCCAACTATTCATTCTCTCACACTGCTGGGTGAGGAATCACCCACTTCACCTTTTTTCCCTTCCAAACGAGTACCACCATTTTACAGTCACTGAGAGAGTTCAGAGTTCTTTACAGAACAGTACTGGACTGGACAACATGTGCACAGAGAATAATTCCTACAACACTGAGAGGACTGGTTGGGGACTTACGCTGTCCATGCCACGTCTTTAACAAGGCACGCAGTGGGCACAAGAAACAAGCCAAACCAGAAGTATCCACATCTTAACACCATTCCAGCCTGTGAAGAAAACAAACAAATAACTCATGAGTATTTTCAAGCCATTACAGGTTAAGTGGTTAGGTAGAGTGATGGCATCAAACTAATACTGCATCCATGACCTGGGTGATGTTGAAATTTAATAATGGGCCAATAATTTAACAAACAGCAAAGGCATTTTTCATTGCAATAATTCCTTGTGACTTCAAATTTCTTAAACATTTCTGAAAAAGCACATATTTTGACCAAATCCTCCAATGATATTAAGTTGTGAATCTAGGCAGACACATTTTTAGTCATGGAGGAGAGCACCATAAGTATATTCTGCTTGCACTTTTGACTACCTTTTGTGCCCTTCTCTTACTCTTTCCATCTACTGTCTTAGATCTCTGAGCAGCATCAAAGTGACATAAAAAAAAAATACATTTCTCACTAAAATGTTTCAGTTGTACTCCACTTAAATACAGCACTTCCTGTTCAAACTACTGCTGCCTGAAACCCAGGGTGGGAAAGATTCACTCCTGTCCTACAAATGGCTTTTTTTACAAACAAAGAGCTCTAAGTTTATATTTGCGTTCTTCTCATTGTTGTAATGCTTGAAGAAAAAGCTTGGAGGGATTTGAGAAGGAAGCTATCTGGAAACCTTACATATCCCAGCATACACAAATAGTTATGGAATGAAGTTGAAATATAGCACTATTTACAGAAATGCTATTTTAGCTCATTCGAACCTTTTGCAGATAAATTAATGGTGACTGAAGACCAGGTTTGCTACACAGAAGATCTGAGACAACCTCATCATCCCTTCCATGGAATACACGTGCTTCCCATCAGCATTGTTAAATACTGCTGCACATTAGAAAATACTTTTTTCCCCCTGTAGCCACTTGTGTGCACCACACAACTGAAACAGAGGCTGAAAGGTTTCAACAGCATTTCCAGTGTCTAGACAGATTTTGCTCTCTCAATGGTTACAGACACCACCATATCTCTTTCCCAAATTCTCAATATTTCTCAATATTCTCAATATTTTTAATGCCATACACGCACACCTGACATGTCAGCAGTGTAACACAGGCTAGGCTGGCTCAGCTTTGTTGCACGCTGCAGCACACAAGCACTGCAAGCCCGCAATGCTGAAGTGTCAGGACATGGCACAGGCAAAGACAGAGCTGAGCTACAGAGGAAACGGAACTGCTTGAAACATCTACTAGCCTTTGAACACACTGGAGACAAAATTTGTCATTATACACCTTGTAACATGAAAATGATTGCTCACAACAGTAGACTTCTACCACTCACTACAGTAAAGCTCTTAAACTGAGAGAAGCCATCACAGAGCTCTGCCAGGATGTTCACCAGTGCATCCAGCATCTTCTCCCAGTGTCAATCTCTATCCAAAGCTGTTCACCTAACAACTCAGTCATATTTAGCAGCAACTTGCCCTTGGGTTGCCCAGTAGTGAGTACATACAAAAGCGGCTTTCACTTTTAAATGTTAACTCCTCCATGCCATTGCTGGACTGATGAATCAGTGGTAAATCTTGTACTGAAACCAAGAGTAAGCTAGACTGTGCCAAAACATTCACGGACACTTTGCCACCCACAGACAGTAAGCAAACACATTCCAGTCACAGAATCAGCTCTTGGTTATTTGGGAGCCCTCATGCCTACATCCACATGAGAATGCCAGAAGCACACAGGCAGTTTTCATCTATGCTTATTTAAGGAAAAGGATGTACAGGAATAAGAGGGAATTAATAACTTTATTGTTAGCCAAGAAATTGAACCATAATAACAGTGGCAAAACATAATAAGATTTATCCTCATGCTTTGCTTTTCTTTGGCCATGACCCTGCAAGTGCTGGCAGTCACAGAATCACATCAGCATTTCCACTCACCCTCTGCCTGTGCTAATAAAGGCTAAAAAAGAGCCATAGTATTCTATATGCATTTTCTGGTATTTTTGATTGAAATATTTTACGTTCCATTTCTTGCTTTTCTAGCCGAAAGCAACTTGACACACTTTCAAAGTGCAGAACAATCTGAATATGTGTTCTATAGAAGTTTAAATGCTATTATTTTTGTAATAAATGCTGACATCTCAATCAATGGCTATGAATTTGGACATGTGGCATGTTGGAAAAAACCTCAAAGTCAAATACTTTTTGCCTGCAATTATGTATTTTACTCAAGTATTATTCTGTCCATAAACTTCACCATAACAGAAAAACTATTCATCTCATCAGAACCCTGTCAAACACTCATTTTACTACTGGCAAGGCTTTTTCCACACAATTCTCACCAAGGTTTTACTCCATTCCTCAGCTCATCTGGAAGGTTTCTTTCCTGCTCATCTCTAATTTCCTCTTGGAGTTACAGGACTGCCACACTTCAGGACAGTGAACTGGTCCGTCTTGCAGGCACAGCTCTACCTCTGAACACAGCGTTCTCCCTGGCAGGATTACTCCCTCTTCTCACAGCATGGGAGCTCCTCAGCAGAGCATTCAGAGCAAATCACCCAACGTGCTCTGGGGATGTCCATAGACAGCACTTCCAGGTTAGTCCCCGGACTGTAGGATAGAGAGCTGGGTTATGAGCAGAAGCTGCAGTAAGAACACCTAAATACCCTTACAACGCTTTTCTCACACTTCCCAGCTGTTGCTGTGCTCCATTCCAGTTGCTGAGCCAGTCATGACAACAGTGAAGACGGTACTGCAATACTTCTTCAGTGAAATATGGCACTTCTATATCCAGTTCCTGTGAACACCACTCTTCAACTATCAGTTATTATCCCAAGATAAAAAAAAGCAGACACCAAACAGGAACCACTACAATTTTTATTTTTTTTGTAAAGATCATCACACAAAGCAGGAGTAGAAATAGGTTGTTTTTTAAACAAATTCAAAATATTGACCATCTCTGCTATCACAGAGGCCCCATGATAGGTAACAAAGTAATTTTTGCTTTGGCTACTGATGTAAACATTAGTGACTATCACATCCAAAGTGAATTACCAGAGACCATTAATCACATGGCACCCCCTAAAAACACTTGAGACTAATGCAAGTCCTGTTTCTGAGAACACTGCAACTTAAACTACTGCTACCAGTAGACTGCCTTTCAAACACTGATTAATCTGCCACAGACAAAGCATTCATTTTAGAGAATTGATGACATTTGTTAAAAAGAAAGAATGGGAACAAGAAAAGAAAGAAAAAGAACTTAGCTCCAGTTATTTCACAACTGAGAAGGAAATAATTTAGGTCCCAATGCCTTTAACCTCTTCTAAATAGCATTTGTAAGGGTGGACAATTTCTTGTTTTTGTTGTTTTTTAGTATATTAAAAAAAGTGATAGCAGTGACCATTCAGAATGACCAGGAAGATCATCATTGTATTATTTTTTTAGAAAGCATTGGTTAAGGTGGGCTTTTACTTTTGTTGATTGGAGTTTGAGTTTTTCTTTCCTTATTTTAACTCAAGGACATGTTATGTACAAGCACATGAAATCGAGAATAGATTATTTTGCCAACAACTTCCAAGGAGAACAAGGCCAAAAGTGCCCAGGGATGGGAAGTCAATGTACACACTGTTCTGGTATTCTTATCGCAGCATGGTTAGACAACTGGGGACCAGTAAATGATTCAGACAAAGCAAGCAGGGATCTCAATCGTCTCATTCAAGAGAAGCGAGACAAAATTTAAATTCCTATTTTGAATAATGAAAGTTTTTTATTATTTCATTTCCTCATATAACCACATAATTCTGACAAAAAATGGACAGCAAAAGTATAAGACCATGATGGAAACAGCTGGCTTTATATTTCCAGCGCAAAAAAAAAAATTCCTGGAAGTGTGCCTGGAGCCTAATCACAATTCTCTCCATCAGACATGGATAAGGACCCAGTAAGTCACTCAACTGCAGTTTCATACTCATTCAATTCCAGCTTTGTACAGTAGGGATTCAAGTCCAACCTGCTGTGCAGGCACATCACTGGGTCCCCAGTATGGCACTGCCTTTGGCAGCACTTGGTACAGGAGGAGTGAGGGAGAGGATGGCAACATTGATTATTGTGAGGGACTCACACATGGTGACACACAAGAAATATTCACTGCCATCACTGAGGTACTCTTCATCTGGACTTCTCAGACACTGGTGACACTTGTGTGCACTGCAAGTGCAGCTCTGGGAGCTTGGCCCTGCTGCTCCATCTGCTCTGCTGCAGTGCCCAAAGCAGGAAGCGGTGTGTGCACTACCACTAATACACCTCAAAGCAGCCAACTGAGATGCACCAGGTGGACTCTCTGCCAGTAACCCTTCTCCATCAATTCTAGACCAGTGGCTTGGTCTGAGCACACCACTTCAGAAGGGCTAGAGCTGGGGAAGCCCAGCTGGTCACTCTGCTCCCATCCCACGTTAGGCAATTCATGTCTGCTTTTCAGTCAGCTGAGGGCAGTTTCTGCAAAGCCTGCCCCAGCCCATCGATCTGAGGTGCTGTTCCTGGGCCCTCAGCCATGACATTTTCCCACTGGTGTTGAAAGCTTGCACAAACAGTCCTGCTCCACTTAAGTTCCAATGCCTCATCTGAAGGCACGAGATATGGACAAACCTACTACTCTCCTGGAGAAGTTCAAGCATTAACACTGGGACACATTACAGCAATACTCTGAAAACTCTCAGATTCGTGCAAAAGATAGCCTTTTATTTTCTCTATAGACTCAATGGGGCTAATTCAGACATTGCTTTAAATGTCTAGAAAATATTTTCTGTAGAAAGTAAAATAATATCTACCTCAATGTTGAAATTGTTACACTTTTAGTGATGTTACAACTTCTACATCTTTGTTGTAGGTTTGTTCTTTTTTTTTTTTTTCCTAATTTTTAAAATGCTCTTCACAAGTAAATTTGAACCCTAACTTCAGTAGGAAGAGAAACAGATTCCATGCATAAAAAATCCCATTGCATATTATGAACAATATCATTGTGCAAACTCCTCAGCAAATACGTATTTGCAGTTTGCAG